AGCGTTTCCGTTATCTCGTCCACCCTCCACGAGCGGATGAGTACCCTGGCTGCCTGGTTTGCCCACGTGGTATCCACAATGGAGGAGCCCTGCGGCCTGATACAAGTAGGACAGGATCCGCGATTTAGGATGGAGAGGCCCACCTCTCGCGCCCATCTGTTCATCAACTCCCCCCTTCTACACGTCTTCTTGCTACCCCATGCCGTCGAGTGGGCGTTGAAATCTCCTCCAACTATTAAAGGTGTACTATGTGGAATTTTTATCATCTCATTTCTTATTCTTCTCAGGAATGACCTGAATCCACCGAGTTGTTTATTCGGGGAGAAATAGCAGCCTATAATAACCAAAGTGCCACAATCAACTACTACAAAGCCTGCATCTCTTTTAATTAGAGTGAATTTAGGCGTGGAGGTGAAATGGCGACAAATCGCTACGTCTTTTCTCTCGTCCATAAAGCCGTTTATCTGCTGCGCCTTATATGGCTCCGCTACGATAACAAGAGCGAACGCATTTGCCTGAGAATATGCCTCCAATGCTGCGTTGGCAGCATATGCATGATTAATGTTACATTGCAGTATCTTTAGGGCCATTATAATTATTATTTTTTTCCTTTTTCAGGTTCCCGGTAGGAGGTGCCTCCGGACTTCCCATCACCATCTAGCATCATCGTAGCTGATTCGTCTTCTAAGGTAAGTACACTGGTTTTTTCAGGTTCCGACGGGTATCTGCTGCTCTCCGTGGCCGTCGTCAAGTTATCATCCGAGGTAAGTATATCATTCTTCTTTTTTTCAGGTTTTGCTCGATTCGTAGTCACACTGTTTATCCTCCTCAAAGGCCTAACCGCTGAGCATGACTGACTACCCATTCGGTGGTTGGCCGATCTATTGGCGTCCTCGCACAGGCGACATTTCGCTATTGTGGCTGTACATTCTTTAATTACATGATCTTTTTCACCGCACTTAAAGCACCAGGTAGACCTATCGGTCCCACTCGTGCATTTGTCCCTTGTATGGCCAAAGTTCCAGCACTTGAAGCATTGCAAGGGTCTTTGCTCCACCGCTTGGATTTTGGCGTCTGACCACCCTACACGTAATCTACCTAACTTCAGCAGCTCGTGCGCAGTACACTCCGCGCATTTAATCCATACCATACCCACCCCAAGTCTATTTCTCTTGATCTCACCGATTTTCAGGTCGTCGTTGTCCCCTGATTTGCTCTCGATTGCCTCTTTAATGTCCTTCGGCGTCACCGAAAGGTCGAAGCCAGATAGAATGACCTCGCGGGTACGCCTAGGGCATGATACCTTCACCTTCTGGTTTTCTAGAAGGGATCGTAACCTTCCTGCCAGCGCCAGAGCTTTTTCAGACTGTCCTCTGCCAGGAATTTCCAAGAGAAGCCCTCCAGACATGGAAGTTCTAGGACGCACGCCCATGATGCCTAATTCAGTCAAGTTAATTTCACTCCTCGCTTCACGCATGATTTGTGCGAAGTCCATACTGCATCCATCTTCCCGAATCAGGTGAACGACCGCAGAATCTTTCACCTTCTTGATCTTCTTCTCACGGACGTCTTTGTCTAAATCATCCGCCTTGCTTGGTATAGCTTTGCGTGCTAAGTTCGGAGTCATCTCTTCTTTCTCCGATGGTACAAGAGTAGCTTTCTTCCGCCTACCTATTTTCATCCACGGTGCAGGATTAGCATTCGCAGGACCGTTTAGGTTATCTTCTCGTTGCGGACCCTCCTTGACCGTCAATTTTTCCGGCTTCCTACTGCTTTCGCTCGCTATCCGTTGGTCCTCTGGACGCTTGATTGATTCCGCGATTAAAGATATCATTTCCATCCTAAAGGCCGTAAATCTTTTCTCTATTGATTCGTTGAGGATCTTGCCTAAATTGGCAATCTCCTCCGAGATTGTACGTGTGGGTGGGCTCTTTTTGGCCCTTTGTTTCTCCTTTTCCATATCGGATAATTTATCTTCAAGGTTTTTAATGTAGCTTCTTAACTTTTCATTTTCTTTTTTCAGAGGCGTCATCCCTTTTTGCGTGGAAGCCGACGCTCGCGCCGCGAGTTCAGCACAAGCTGTCCGCATCGTGTCCTCGGCTACCTTCAACGCTTTCTGGTAAGTACCTTTCAGATTTGATGACGTAATCCTTACTCTCTCTATTTCGTCCACACATTCCATGACGACGCTGGCAATGGCAGGCGTGGACTGTGCCTCAAGATCATCTAAATCTTTCACCTTTTCATTGTCTGAAAGGGATTCCACTTCCGAGTCTTCGGTTAGTTTCATCTGTCTCTTCTTCTTCCGTGTTTGTTTTCCGCCAGATAGAGAGGACTTTTTCTCGTTAAGTTCACTCTTGCCGGATGATCCCAAAGTGTTATCACCATTTCTCTTCCTCTTAGATCCCGTCACATCGTCCATCGCTTTAGGCGTGATCGCTACCGGGGTACTAAATACGGTTTTATCAAAAACTGCGACACCAAGACTCGCTCTCGAGTTTGCAGGCGGACTGCGTCCAAGAGAGTGTCTTGGCGTATGAGCGAACTCGTAGTGATCTTCCACCGCACTCAGACGTTGAGAATCACTATCATCCTTCCCTGAGCTATCGTCGACTCTCGATAGAAGCACCGATAAACTTTTTTTTGTGGGGTTATTTTGTTTAGCCATACTTTAGGTTCGATGACGCATCCTGCATAGGGGAGCGGGCTGGGGAGAGAGGGGGTACACCCGCAGTGGATAACCTCCTGCATCCCGGTACTCCGGAAACCTCGCTCCAACATTTAACCCCCCTCGGATTCCAGACAGGGGAGCACTCGCTCGGAGCGGTGGGGGCTCCGACACCCCCACTCAACATGCAGTTCCTGGCCAGGGACATCGAAGTGGTCATTTCCGGGCCTGGACGACACCCAGCGCCTCAGCAGAGATTCCTCACATCAGCCCAGAAAAATGCAGAGTGGGAACAACCCTGCACATTCCGGGACACTCCCAGCGCCGATGCCGCCCAGACCAGCCCATACAACACGCACACCATTCATACCAAAGACACCACAGATACAAACACTCATGGAACAGGAAGGAGAAAGGGATAGGATCAGGTACGCTGCTTAAGAAGCAGGTAAGTAGCCTACGAGGTAAGTATATGCACCTTACGTGCACTAATAACAGTG